TACCCCAATTATAAGCGTGAGGGTAAATTGATGGAATGGATAGATCTTTTTATTTTGCCTAAAATTGTTGACAGTGAGTGTTGAGGCTGATGAATTCCCTTGGATTCTTACCCATCTAAAACAATCCCAGGAAGAGAGGCTTATTCCTTTATTTTCAAGCAGTGAGGAAACCACTTCATTGACGTAACCAGAGACAATATCTCTTTTGGGGAATCTATGATCTGATTCTTTCTATAGTAGAGTACATATATCAGATACACTGAAGACTGTACTTTACTTTGGATACAAGGTTTCTACGTTTTTCGCAGTACATGTGTCCTCAATACAGTTTACGGCTAAAGTAATGCTGAAGAAATTCAATTAAAAGTTGTTCTTTAGTTTTCTCTGCTCCACTCTTTTCTTTCTCCTTTCTTTTTGGCATATTTTGTAACTGTGCCTACTCTGTTTTTTCTTCTTCTTTTTTTCTTATGGGAGGGGAGTATTTATATCTCCCCTTAATATACACAAGATCATATTGACCTACAGTCGGAAGTTGTACCGAACCACCTGCAGGAGTGGCTAAGCACCAGCTGAAGAATGTCTGCGTTTTTATAGGGTAGCAAAAAAATACTCTGACCATCAGTTCGGTTGGACAGACCAGCAGTTTGCTTCCGAACTTCCCAATGGCCTGTTGCACTGAAATGTGTAGGAGGGACTCTGACCCTTTACAACAGACTTATTGAAGATATGTAGCATAATGCTGCAAACAATAAAAGATCTAAACATTTTCAAGAAGTACAGTCTGCTTTGTTACATCTTATAGACAACGTTAAAGTTCCATGTCCAAGCCAGTTTGTTGAAGAGGTAAACACTAAGGTATTTATACTCATAAAACTTCTCCACCTATTCACTCACAATGCAAATAGTGTTATTTGACTTCTGTTTTTATTGAATTGTTAATCATATGCTTTGTATGTCATATAGATTGGTGATTTGTTTTCATACCATATCACATTGTAATTCAATAACTAACTATAATTAGCCTCTTGTCCATCTATGATACAACCGAGTAGCTCAGAGGTAAAAACACCTTTTCATACACTAGAGGTCTGAGGAGTGAAAAGGAATGGTGAGAGTTTATTCCCCTGTGCACCTACTATGATGTCGATTTCCTGGTTAGGTCTAACCAGCTGTTGTGTGAGTTGGGTAATCATTGATTACAATTCTTAAGGCTGTGTATTTTAGACACAGGCGGAGGAGAGCAATTCAAAGAACTTGATCCTCTAACTACTGTCAGTTAACACATACTTGTTCAATTTTGGGGGGATCTTTAACATAAAAGCTATAGCATAGAGTTCATAGCATAAACTCTAAATTCTTTTCTTATTTTTGATTTTTCTCTTTTTTTAACTGGGAGGCTGAATATATCTGTATTTATATAATATTTTTTATTCTCTCTGTAAATCACCTTCTGACCCTTCTTATTCTGAGAAGGACACTATTTACAGTAGCTGAACTGTCCCTCCTTTGCAGGCTCTTAGTAACCTTTCAGTGTGCTTTCACATTTAGGATTTTCGGCATTATTATATAAAAACAAAAAACAAAAATCTTCCTCACCCATCACGGGCAGTCTTCTCCCCTTTTTTTCTATCAGAGGCCTGGGAGCTTGAGGGTTCTGTGTAGTACCTTTGCTGTTACTAGAACCGCACTCTTCTGGACCGAGGGTCACTGCCCTGAATGCCCCAATGACCACGGGTACCACTGATGTCTTGACCTTTCAGGTTTTCTCCTGCTCTGAACATGAACATGAGAAATACCAGGGGTTCTTCGCTGAGCCCCTGGTATTTCTCATGTTCCCTTTTCCTGATGTTGCAGTCACTTGGTATTGCTATGTCAACCACAACGGCTTTCCTCTGATTTTTGTCCATCACCATAATGACTTTGTACCATTCGGTCCGTCTGTATCTGGAAGTCCCACAGGATCTTGGCTTGGTCATTCTCTACTGTCTTTGGAGGTGTTTCCCATTTTGACCTTAGGGTTTCCAGCCCCTACTCTGCACAGATGTTCCGGTGTACTATTCCAGCCACTTGGTTATGACACTCCATGTTAGCTTTCCCTGCCAGCATCTTACACCCTGCAGTTATGTGCTGGATTATCTCAGGGGCATCTTTGCACAGTCTGCATCTGGGGGGGACTTTTAGAAACGGATAGGTTAAAGTTTTGGATGAAGACATTTGGTTCAAGACAGAGATGATGAGGCAGAGAGTTCTATGATCAGGACAGAAGATTAAGAATTTGAGTGTGTGAATTTGTGTGACAGGAAAGCTGTCAGTAGAAGTTGGATGGGATGTGTTTTCCTGGAGAAGGGAGAAGAGGATCTTGAACTTCGTCATAAGCTGAATCTGTTAAAGAATGTGTTAAGTCTAGACTGCCATCTTCCAAGGGTTCTTACCACCTCCTAATCGATCTCCTTCAAGTTAAGACCTTCAAATCACTTCTCTGTCATACAATTTCGACCACAGTGGTAAGTCTGTCAGAAACGATCATTCCCAGGAAAAACTTGGTCTCCAAATGAGAGTTAGTCATAAAATCTGCATGCTAATATGGACAGAAAGAACAAGGCTTAAAGAATAAGAGACAGTAAAAAACAACCAAATACAATCAGAAATATAGTTAATATCAACCACTAAGTAAATATTAACTGGGTTTATATTCCCTGTCAGGAAAATCCTCTTTAATCAATGATTTAATTTCTGATCAAAATCTGGATGTTATTGTTTAACAGAGACATGGTTACATGAATTAAATGAGACCTATTCTCATAGACTCAGCGCCTCTGAGTGTTATATGTTATAAGAGTGCAGATAGCAAAGGAAAGTTTGGGAGTGGACACTTTGTTTAAAGTTTCACTGAAGTGTGAAAAAAGTATTTCTAGGCAAATTCAACTCTTTTGAATATTTGGCTCTCCGGGTAAAGAGCCCAGTTCAAACCACGTTCTTGAGTATTTGCAGGCCTCCTCAGTTAAAAAAAAAAACATTTTATCTGGGTGATAGGTGTTGAATAAGACTTAACTATTTGGGTAGACTTCAACATTGATTTTGACAATCCTAAAGATAGAAGTAGAACAAAAACTATGTGATTATCTTAGAAACTTGCGCTCTTTGACAACATTGTCTAAACTTCTACATATTGAAGGCAAAGCACACATGTCAAAAACACTTATAACAAATTGTTCATTGATGTCAGCTGGAAATATGCAGTTCAGAAACGTAATGCCCAGGTTTTTAAAGGGCTAAAGACAGGAGTCTTGAAATATGGGAAAGATGGACAAATGCCTGCAGTAAATGTCATGAGTAGTTGAACACAGCTGTAATCAAAGGGAACTACTGATTGCTTGGTACAAAGGCACAAGCAGATCTTTCCCTTTTGTCATAAATACATTGTTTGCTTATGGTTGCTTGGGAAAGAAACATGATTTACTGAATTAGATATACAATGCACGTGGAAATGCACTGCATCCAAAATAGTGTGCTGGTCTGTGCTACAAATATTCATACACAGCTTGATTATATTTTCACCTTCGCATTTATGTACAATATTTACTCACCCTACAACTTACCAACATGACACTGTAGCCCTTAAGGCTGATTTATACTTCGAAACTAGGTCGTCTGCGTGTGTGTCGCAGTGAACGCAGGGACGTCCCCGCCCCCTCCGCAGACACTCTGCTGCCCCTCTCCCAAATTGTAGGTGACCGCAGACAGTGCCGCAGACAGGAGGTCTCTGATTGGTCAAATCTACATCCGCTCTACTCATGCGTATTTCCTGTTTGTTACCTTGATGTTTTGTTTGTATGACCACCATTGCGGAAAAACGTGAAGTTTGACCAGTTAGAAGAGCGAGGTGCGTGACAACGCTGGGACACTTTTTCCATCTGGATCCTCGCTCTTTTTTTGCCCTCGTGTCCCTCCGTTGTCGCACAAACTTTCCCCCACTTCCTTACTGCTTCGGTCGTATCTAGACCCACAGCTAATTTGTGATTGTCCCTCTTGCATTGTGGCATGGAATAACATAGCGCAGACCATGTTTCAAAATTGAGCATAAATCAAAAATGTCTGCGACAAGCTCACTGCTACACACAGCTGTGGCTGCATAACCTGCCCTTTATTGTTAATTGATAGAGATGACAATTTGCCTAGTGTATTTGCATCAGGTAAAATGCCTGAATAAAGTTGTCGGGTAATCTTGTGGTTCACTATGCCTAGAGTAAAACTGTCCTGGGTGTGTGGGAGAGTTGTTTACATAGGCTTGTTTTTCCATATAGGCAGAGTAATCCAACAGGTGGCTTCACATCAATTGCTTTCAGAGGTCTGATTATTTAGAAAAGAAATCATAGGATGAAATTTTAGTCATTTTTTGCTAAGGTATGTGCAATAGTCATCAATGATCTTTGTGTGGTCACTTTTTCCTTTATTTGATATTAAATCACAACAGCTCTAAAAATTGGGGGAATGCAAATAAAAATGATAGATGGGAAACAAACTCTAAACATAAAAATTGAAAATTTCTAATGAATGTTGAGCAAAAGAAAAACATTTTCAAAAAATTCCATTATGCATTTGCGGAATGTATGCACTATTAAAAATGTTGCTCCGAGAATGACATATTTTAATGTTGCATGGATCCTTTTTGGCACTTTTATTTAAAGAAAAATGTATTGTGTAGTTATTTTTTGCTACTGTATAATTCATGCTGATAAGATGAAAGCTGCCAGCTTGCAAATTTGATTCCTGGCCACAACTTTCTTCTTTAAATATGGCATACTTTTTTTAAATGCATACTGAAATAAAAAAGAAAAATGGCATTATCCACATTTAATCAAATCAATACAATTCCTTGTCCACACTTGATTTCTGTTCCTTTCTTAGCTATATGAACTGTGTAGTGTTGCAAATCATTCTGTCCTTCAACATCTCGGCAATGACAACTGGGTTTCTGTGTGCTTGTTTGGGAATTACAGGTCTCTCCCTAGTCTGCTCCAGGCTTCAGCTTGGAGAACCCAGCCGCCAAGATTGATCCCAGCAGCTGGAGCGGCAGCGAGAGCCCTGCCGAGGACATGGAGCGGATGAGCGATTCAGCGGACAAGCCTGTGGACAACGATGCCGAAGGGGTCTGGAGTCCTGACATAGAGCAGAGCTTCCAGGAGGCCTTGGCCATATATCCCCCATGTGGACGCAGGAAGATCATCCTGTCAGATGAAGGAAAGATGTATGGTAAGTACAGATCTGTCTGACTTTAGTACTAAGCCCCAGTGTATCTGCTTTTCTCTAATTTATGTAAAGTGCGCTTTATTTCTTTGATAATTTTCCTTTTTTCTAATGTGGTTAAAAATGTCAAAATTACAATCTTCAACTAAAGCTAGAGGCAGAAGCATTATAAGCTTCACATTAAGAGTATATTGTCATGATGGCTCCATCAGATGGACATAAAACCCACTGTAAAAAAGATGTTTCATTTGTGGGAAGGAGTAATTAAAAAAAGACAAAAAAGAAAAACAAACAAGATCCATCCCTGGTTTGCTGGAGTGCAAGTTTATGAGTAAAGCAACATGAACTATTAGCCAGAAGCAGATGGTACCGCTGCTGCCACCAGCTGTACCCCTTCTCTTTCCTGTCTCCACTCACTCTCCCCTCCCCGGTCCTGGCTCGGTGATGTCATGGAAAGCACGAATATTTTCTTTCTGTGGTGTTGGACGGACTCTCAGCCTGTCAGTTTGAAGTGAAAGCAGAAAATCCCACTGAGCATTAGCTTGCAGCTGTCATGTGACCCCCCTGTCCAAACATAATGCTAATTTTACAAGTTGTATTGAGACCTCTCATTGGTCACTACAAACATCTAAGCTCAGACAACACCTCCCTCCCCATGGTCTTTTTCTCTAGCTCTCCAACTCAAACAGATTGTGGATACCCAAGAAGTCTACTCGGGATTAAAGATTAAAGATTACAAAGAAACATTGCTAACAGGAGGACTTTTTCTGATCAATACAAGGGATGCCCTCTGATCTAACCAAAATAATATTATTTACACACTCTTTCTTATATAACTGTGAGGGAAATAACCAATTTGCTTGGTAAACATCGTTAGCTCTTGCCAGATGTGTCTCCTTTTTTTAAAAAAAAAAAAGCAGTTTTAAAACCATTGTTAACAATCTGAGAGAGATTTTCTATATTTGTGGTGCATTGTAAGGAAATATCCCTTTTATTTTTCAGAGGTTTGTGCTATTAGATATGCTCTGGATCTAGTTATAGGTATCTTGCATTGTCCTCAGGCTGTGTGTCCCTTTCTTATAACGTGAGAGCTGTAAGATACCAGTACATTTTTTTTACATATTGATGTGTAAAGAGGCAGAGGAAAAAAATAAAATGGCAAAAAACCTGAATTTAAAGTGAATTCTAATATTTTCTAACATGTATTTTCTGTGATTATGCTTTTGGGCTCTGTCACGATAAGTCCCATTTTGGTGGTAATATGTGGAAGACAGCTGGGTGCACTGTCATTCAGTCATTCAGCTTTGTAACGGTTGCTGTGTTTTAGCAGCAGCTTTATAATATGAACAATACAAATTCCCAACATCCGTCAAGTCACCATTTGTCTATTACTACAACAACAAGCTGTGTTTTATGGAAGGAACATCTTTAAAAAAAATACAAAATTGCTGACAATTTATCATTTAGCCCTTTCGACAGGGAAGTGGACGAAGCCAATCAAACATGACAGCGTTGCTGATGATAACTCTGAATCTGAGTGCTCGGTTAGATTACATTTTTAAAAATGACAGTGAAATTAGAGTTGTTATGATTTTGGACACTTTGTTCCATGTTCTTTTTCTCTTCTAAAATAACTGTTAGTGTCTGTTTTTGACTTGTCTTTTTTTTTTTTTTTTCTTTTTTTTTTCTCGCTTGACTCGGCTGATGACGAGTAACACTTTTATTATTATTAAAGGGGGGCTTATTTCAAGTTAATTTCAACTAAAATTAAGTTTACATTGTTCTGTATTCATTTTTTCATAAAGAATCTGTCTGGATAAAAAAAAAAAAATCAATCTAAAAGAAGTATTTTATATAATGTATTTCTATGCTCAAGGTTATACGTTTTCTTGTTTTGTTTGAGCTAAATGGTTAATCAGTTCCACAGCATTAAAGATGGGATGTTTAATATTTTTACGGCTGATGCAGTTAAAAGAAAAGTGAAAAATTTCAAAATAGCGGTGGTTGTAGAGTGTCAATATGATAAATAATATGTGCGAAATGTCTATATTCCAAAAAAGCAACTTACAGCTAAGCCCAAAATTATTAATGATCTTTGGAAGGTTTGGTGTGTTGTGATCATATATTGATATCAGAAATCAGCCAAATATCAGCCAAAAAAATAATATATCAGGATATACTGTATAACCCTGCGTCCAAAATCTCTCTTATAACCAAGCTGATAGAAACACTCTCCTTGTGTTTAAAGTTAATGTAACCCATTGGGTAATAAAACATTATTCATTTCATCTCATAACTATTGTTCTTTGTTAAACTAATATCACTTTATAAAGCCTTCTCCACCAGTTTAAACTAAAAAATAGATAATAAAGTAATTGTGACTCATTCTGATGCCGTTTTGGGTCAATGTTAGTATTGGTCAATGCTCCAATCTGCAATATAGGTATCGTATTTAAAAATGAACAAGGTATATCCAGACATCCCTAGTTTAAATTAATCTTTTGCCAGCTGTTGCTGCAAATAATCACTTACTTACTGAAATAAAGCTAGCATATCTTTATTTTGTTTCAGGAATGACAATTTCCATATTTTGGAAATATATCTATTTGCCTAAAAACACAGACTAACGATTAGAAATATTTGAATCTGTTTGATTTGGATAAAAGTATAAAAAAAAGATCAAAGATACCAGTGAATTTAATTTTGTTAAAGTGTATGTCATAAACATGATAATTTGTTATATTTCGACAAAGCATTGGAAGATGCTTTGTTCTATTTTTCTAATCTTGATGCAAGCTGTGGATGTAGCCCTTAAAACACACCAAGTTCCAAAGAAAACCTCTCCTGGCATCTGAAGTTAATGTGGCAACAAGAAGACAGGTATTTGTAGTTTAGAGACTCTGGGGATGGCATAGTGTTCCATACACAGAGCTCATCACAAGAGCTGCCCTGAGTGCCCTTAAGCCCTTTGTTATCCTGGGGTAGAGTGCAGTTAATTAGCAACAGTCTCTATAGCAACCGTGCTGCAGTACAAAACAATTTCTAATTTCTGCTTCTTAGCCTATTGTGGTGTTTACCTGAAGGGCTTTGAATGTGCCGAGACCACTGTTGGCTGGCACTGCGCCCTTTGTCCGGGGCTAATTGTAGCAGCACTGGTAGACATAGCATCTGCATAGACTGCTTTAGTAGCCTCACAGTTTACTTAGGAGAATAGCTTAAAAAGGTAATGCAAAGTGGAGGGCAACACCACCAAGCCAAAGGCCTAAGAAAGATGCGGCACTTGCATAATTTACCTGCTGTGCACGGCTGCATTCATTTATCCTAGAAATAGAGTTGATAAGTGACACAACACGTTTCACTCAAATTGTATGTTTATTCATTGGATTATGTATTTGCTCTACCCAGCAAACTAAATATCATTGTCAAATTTCTATCAGTTACTGTTGAGGAGAAACAAACTGAATTTTATTCCATCTATAGATAAATAATTATAGATATTCTTTGGCAAACTCATCATCCTGTTATTTGTATTTATACCATTTAGGATTGCTTTACTTATATGGTGAAAGTTAATTGTCACGTTATTTCATCCAACATTTTTTTAATACAAAGGTTGCAGGAACAGTAATCTAAAATTTCCTTCCAGGCCTTATTTGCACTTATTATAAAAAAAGACCAAAATCAACGTGTTTAATAGCTAAACATTTGATCGTTATGCCTGCATCCACGCATGTTTTGATGTAAAGCTTTTCCTATTATCATTCAGCTGTTTGCTCTGCCATCTCATCAGAGGTCCAGCGCAGACCCCTCCTGTGGGAACTAAGTGGCACTTGGTTTGCAGAGATGCCAAGGATGAGTTAGATATAATGAGCAGACCTGGCTTGCCCCTGATGGCCCAGTGCTGTGCTCCTCTGGGGCTCGTCTCATCGGGCCAAGCATGCTCCGAAACGGAGCGAGTGGACCTGATCTCCCCTGCTGGGTAGATAATGAGGAATTCTGGGATCAGCTCAGGCTCCCCGAGTCACCTGCATTCACTCAGAATAGAGTGTGAGGAACTTCATTGCAGGGAAGGCATCATACACCTCTAGAATAATCCCTAATTTTCTTGCTGGCTATTGTCAATAAAGGACCACTGTGTTTTCACACACCATTGTGGTGAAAAAGTCCAATTATTTTATGTCTTTCATAAAAAAAGTAACTTTTGAAAGTGTAAATGGTATTAATACTTCTATAAGTAGGAAAGGAAGAAGGACATTTTAATTTCATATTAAGAATTTAGAAAGTTCTTAGAAAAGGTTGTCTCAAGCAACTTAATCAGCCATCTTGTTACAGTACGATCATGGACAAGTAATTTCATGTCAGGCCCAACCTAACCTAATTAATGTCATAACAGAGAGATGGATGTTACAATGCATTTTTGGTAATATTTAACACCAAGCATTGCTGGGCCATATTTCTACCTGTGCATTCTTAAAAAAATTACTGTGTTCAAAGCAGTGCTGTCTGCCAAGGCAGGGTTAGGATGTTCCATTGATCCTTTAGAATCAGTTAGACCTGTTCTCTTTTGTTCTCTTTTTATGCTTCTTTCTTAAAGGTTGATGTTTCTGCACTCGATGGTTTGCAGCACAAGAGAAGAATGTAAACCGATTTCCAGTACTCTTTACTAATTGCCCTTTTTAGGAAATTATTATTTTGCAGCAAGTTTGTAAGAGCTAATTTGAGCTTAAGTCAGTTTCACTGTGTTTACTACTCTTTGGCTTAACGTCCATTTGAATTCTGCAGATACACTAGTTTAGGGGAAATGATGCAGAACAACAGTGGTGTCTCTTTGTTTGCTGTTACATTCTGCTTAATCTTCCTTGCAGATGTGCACATAAATAGAAACTACAGTACCTTCAATCTTTATGACTCTGGGGTTTCAATATAATTTTTATTTGATATTATTTTTTTTTTCTTTGTTTTTTTTTATCCTGGTTTTTTAAATAATCTGAAAAAACCAATAATTT